AGTAAAAAATAAGGTTTTTAGCGACAAATTTTTTGAAAATGTCACTAATAAATACACTTTTAGGACAAAATAATCTGATATCAAAATGGTTTATTTTTTGAGACAAAAAATGTGGTCCTAAAAAGATAATAATTCTTCGACTAATTTTCATTGCTAAAAATATAATGACGACACTTTTCGCAACAAAAATATTTGATTCCTAAAAAATAATTTTATTCCTAAATTTTGGTTTCCAAAATCTTAGGCTCCGTTTGGTAAGCCTCTCAAATTATAGTTCCACCCATTGATTTGAGCGTGCTGTTTGTTTTGAGCTTTCAAATCATAATTCTACACCTATTTCTCAAAACTCAATTCAAAACATAGTCATTACTTTTCAAAACTCATAACCAAACACATAATTCAAAACTCTTTTTAAAACTCAATTCAAATAAATATTTTAATTTTGCTAAGATTTTAAATATTTTAATATTTAAACATGTTACAATTTTTTAATTTTTTAATTGTTTGAATATTTTTAAATATTTTAATTTCAAAATATTACGATTTTAATTTTTTAAATTTTCAAATATTTTATAAAAATAAATTCAAACTCTATTTTATAAAAATATATCATTCACATTAACGTTAGGTATATAACGAAATCAGGATTTGATTATGAAATCAATTTGATCTTTTCATAAAAAACCTACGCACATGGACTTATATGATTGAGTAATTCGAAATTTCCAAGTGATACCTATAAAACCGAAGATATATTGCACCCTAAAATTTAACCCAAACTAACGGGAAATTTTATTGCTCGCTTATTTTTGTCTCTTACACTATGTTAATCATTTATCAAATAAATCACACGATTTAGTTTGATTTAAGATTTAAATTTTTTGAATATTTATTTTAATTTTTTACTTATTAAATTTTTTAGATTATTTAAATTATTTAAATATTTATGATTTAAATTTTTTGAATATTTATTTTGAATTTTTTTTTTTTTTTTTGCCTTTGTAGTATTTTCAATTAAAAAATTGATTAATGTTATTTTTTGTTAATAATAAATTTTTTTAATTGAATTTTAAAAAGACTTTGGTTATCGTTGATCAAAATTTGTAATAGTGTGAAAGTAGTGTGTTTTGTTATGAGTTATAACAATTTGAATTAAGTTTTGAAAACTCTTTCCAAAACTCATAACCAAACAAATTTTCTTACTTCATATGTCAAATCAAACTTTCAAAACTCAATTTCACACTCAATTCAAAACTCAATTCAACACTCTATTCAAAAACCATAACTAAACAAATTTTCTACACTCAAATCATAATTTCACAACTCACAAACTCAAAATACAACTCATACGCTCAAATCATAATTACAAAAATCTACCAAACATAACCTTAATTTTTTTGTAGTGCGTATGATGACCTGCACCACACTGGTTCCCACATCTCAGCCTGAAGGACAAGGTTGTTTTCAGAGCAATACTAGGTATCATGAAAAAACTTTCATGAAAATGATCATGAAAGATTTATGACCCTTGGATTACACTTAAAATAAAGCACCACACACTAATCAAGATAATTCAAGGGTCATAATTCTTTCATGATCATTTTCATGAAAATTTTTTCATCCCTAACTTTTTCTTGTTTTCAGGATGGAGGGAGTGATAGGCCTCAAGATTTGCCACCCATATTTCAGTCCTATCAAAAAGGCCGAAGTAACCCAACAACATCTAGAGCAACAACTTAGGCCCAGCAAATTGTGCAACGGCACATATTATTAGGAGTCAAAGTATGTATACTATAAATATATATTAAGTAAAAAGAGGTTTTTAACCTCCAAGACATGTGAGAATTTTAATATCTCAATCTGAATTTTTTAAATTTTTTATTTAAAAAAAAAAACTCAGCATTTATTGATTTGGTCAAAATTCTCTGATCAGCATTTATTAACTTTTTTCAATCCACATGTCTTTCCACGTGCCTGCATTTATTGATTTGGTTAAAATTTCCAGATCAACATTTAAAATCCTCTCATACAAATAATTATAGATACAATCCGTGTATAGTTACTGTAGTACCTTCTTCAACTTCTCACATACACTATGATTATTGATAAGATTGTTAAATTATTTTTATGAAAAATCTTTAAAAACATAAGTTATATATTAAAAAAATCTAAAATAAATATAAATAATTATAATTATCCCGTGCATAGCACACGGGTGACAGCTTAGTTATTTGTTATGCTAGAGTCCTAATTGAGTCAAAGTATTATTAGGATAAGGAATGTAGATGCTTGTAATCTTAGATATATTTGATTGAGATAAGTGAAAAATATTTTCCCTTTTTATTCCTAAATTTCACAGGTCTGTCAACTATCCCAAAAGTAAGAATATATCAAGCAAGCAAATAATTGAATTTTATGGTTGCATTGAAAATCTTATTTATTTATTTATTTATTAAATTTTAACTATCAAATTTAAAAAATCAATATTATATTTAATTTCTTATGCATTGTTCACATACCATGCAGTATAACTGCGTTCTTTCTAAACAAAACTGAACTATTAGCTAACAAAAGAGAATGGCATGAGATTTGACAAGACAATAAATCATAGAATCTGATAAGCTTATCAGAATAATCGATCTCAATTATGTATATTGTCCTATCGAGCAAGAAGTTATAATAGAATTTCTTTCTTCATTTAAATGAGAAAACTGACATAACATAGTTGCACTTAAAATTGGAAAAGAAAACATGACTTGGTTGAGCTAAAAACATATGTTTTAGGCTTTTTCAAAAGTTTAAATTTGAATGTGAGAGAATATGATAGGCCTGTGGGGCTCATCATATGTCTGATTTTTGTGATCCAAACAGTTCATTTTGTAGGATTTCTCGTGTATATATTATTAATTAAAGAATTAGATTTATCCTGTAATTGTGTCATTTTCATTTTATTGTCTTTGTCTATGAAAGAGAAAATTAATGATTTGTTTTTTTTTTTTTAAAAAAATTATCATTAATTTTTTAGGAGACAGACATAATAAAATAAAAAAAATTAAGATTATTGGATCGACTTAATAATCTTTTTGAAAGATATACACTGAAACCTTTATAAAATTAATACTTCTGATCATCGGACTAAAACATATAATAGATTCAACTTATTCATCAAGTTCTCTCTCCAATTTGAATTGAGAGAAGTCTAACTCAAAACACACACACACACATTTATATATATGACAGACATCATGATATTTTCGTAAGACTATAACTACAACATATTTCGATACAGCAATGCTACGAACTCAAAGGATCAAACACACAACCAAACACAGAAACTGTTCGGCCGGACAACCGGAAGTCACCACGCCAGCCGCGGTCGACCAGCTTTGACCAAGATGACAACCACGATCGACAAATTCTAGCTAGACGACCGGATGCACAGTTTTTGTGTTCTGATCTGTGTTCGGTCTTCTGTGCATCTAGACTTTTCCATTCTGAAACAATTATATTAACTATAGGCTAGTTTGAAAAAAATGTATTTTAAGTGTAATTTTAATTTAGAGCATTCCATGTAACTAAAAGCGAAGAGAGCTCTCAACTGGCTAACAGCTAAAACAAAGTAATAGTTACACTAATGCATTAACAATATTAGAATATGTTACTTAAGGGAATATAACAAGGGTTTAGATTCTCATTATTCAATTTGTGAGAAGAGTTTAGGTTTGATGGGCCTATTATGGATAGGAATGGCAACGGGCTGGGGTAGGGCCGGGGACCAGACTCCCCGTCCCCGATCCCTGATGATAAAAACTTCCCCGTCCCCGGCCCCGATCCCCGACGGGGAACCTATCAGAGTCTACGTCCCCGCCTCCAACGGGGATCGGGTTTCCCCGACCCCGAAAGTTCCCTGGACTAAAAAAAAAAAATCGAAACAGTAACAAGTTTGTAGATCTGAGAGACATCATCGAACAAAAAAAATCCAAAAATCCAAACATCATCAAACAACATCATCATAGAACAACATCAACATCAAACAACATCAACATTACAACGGGAGAGAGAGAGATCTGAGAGACATATCTAAGTATAGAGAGAGAGAGAGAGAGAGAGAGAGAGAGAGAGATCGCCGAATGAGAGGATCTGCCGTTGACGGTCGAGATCTGAGTTTGCAGATCTGTGAGTGAATGGGTCTCTGTGAGGAGGGAGGCCTTTGAGCTTGTGTGAGTTTGCAGATTTGTGAGGAGTGAATGGGTCAGTGTGAGTTTGCAGATCTGTGAGTGAATGGATCTGTGAGTGAATGGGACAGCAGAGAGAGAGATCGGCGCCGGCGGTGTCAACGTCGGATGAGGGAGGCTTTTAGAGGAGAGAGAGAGAGAGAGAGAGAGAGAGAGAGAGAGAGAGGGAGATGAGAGGCTGTGTGAGTGAATGGGTCTGTGTGAGGAGGGAGGCCTTTAGAGAGAGAGAGAGATGAGGCTGTGTGAGTGACTAACGCTGGGGCCGTGTGATTTTTTAACACACTATGTGAGTGAGGCAATGTATATATATAAGAGGTATTATAGTAATTTCATTTCAGGGAGAAAATCGGGGATGGGGACGGGGCTGTGAAAGCTATCCCCGTCCCCGGCCCGAAACTAATCGGGGATTTAATTTCAAATACCATCCCCGTCCCCACGGGGATATTTTTTGAGGAAAAACCATTCTGATTGGGGTCGGGGGGTCGGATCCCCGTCGGGCCGGTTTCAAATTGCCATCCCTAATTATGGGGCCGACTTCAGTAATTTGAACCGTTAATTTTTTAAAATTCGTTAAGCACAATATTTATATAAAAAAATTAAAATGATTGGATTCGGTAGTTCTATATTTTGAATCACATTTATATTATAAAAAATGGTTGACTATTTTTGAAATTATATTTGTCATTCATTTTTTAAACACAAACATAATTCAAATATATAGGTACCGATATCCAATCATTTTGATTTTTAGCATGGTTATGTTACTCAATTAATCCTAAAAGATGAATGATTCAAATCACCAAAGTAAGGCTCAAAAACAAACCCATTAAACCCGACTGCTCTATCAACTTGGATGGTCAATTTGAGAGAATTTAAATCCTATAACAAAATTTTAAACATTTTTAACTTAGAGACTCATAATAAGGTTTTCAAAATTTTCACTGGAACAGCTATCATAGGTTTAGTTTTCAAGACAAACATATTTGTTTTAGCAACAAATCTCTAACCGGTTTCGAAACGGTCTCCATGTAAAACAAAATTGGAATGCTAGAAAACAAATTTCATGTTTATTTTATGAAACAATCTATTAAACAAAAATCAAATAACGCTTTGCTAGATTAAGAATTTAGAGGGCCAACCAACAAAACAATAATAAATTAATTAATTAAATTAAATTGTTAATGTAGTAAAATAACAAAACGGAATATTAAACATGAATTTTATAGTAAGAAAACATATTATAACATAAGTTGAGTTAAAGTTGATAATAATATAGTCTGTGAGAGTCTGGGAGTCCTGTTATCACTATCTTAAATTTATTTTATCTCCCTTTATAAAGATATTAATGGAGTGAAATAGTTTCAAGATTAAAATCCAATTTGTTCACAGTCTCTCTCATTTAGTGTTTAAAATTGTGATAAATTTAAATCAAGTCATGAACTAAAATTGGCTAAAATACAAAAAATATAAGCAACAAAACTCTATTATAACATGTCATATCTTAAATTATCTTTTAGTATGTCTTTTCGTTTATCAGAGCTGAAAGAATAAGAACTATATATATAATAATGCTAAAATGTAAAATCAATTTTATTACCAATTAAATAGCATTTTGACCAATAAAAAGCCGATAAATTTATTTATATAATAAAGCTACATAATGAGGATCTAATATTCGTATAATAACTCTGATATATAAATTATCTTTTAGTGTTTTGCGAAAAATTCCACAATTTTTCCTTTTAAACTGAAAAATTTCAAGTGTACATAATCCAATTATAGAACTAAAGGCTCGTTTGGCAAGTTGACATTTTAGCCAAAAAATTAAAAAGTTACTAAAAAAGTCAAAAAGTTTATAACCTATACAAAAAAGTCAAATATTTCATTTTCTCTCTACTTTTTGCACATCTTTTCGTAAAAAGTTAAAAAGTCACCACAAACATACTAGTTTTTTTAACTCATATTTTAGCTAAAAAGTCAAAAAGTTACTAAAATAGCATGTTTCCAAACGAGGCCTCTCACATGAGGTGGTCCTCAACGAGTTGTGTTGATGGTGTAGGATCTCCTGGAGGGTATTCCAGCACACTCGACAATTCAAACCCTATCTGGTGTGAAACAAATAAGAGTCCAAATCTAATGAGTCCATAGAAAACTCACTAACCTCGAAAAATGCCAAACATCCACTATAATTACTAGACTTAGAGTAGTCACCTAATTTTTTGAGAAAACTATGAAACTCATGACTTGTGCCAAATGCCACTATCCGTTATAATTACCAAAGTGTCTCGGCTCAGGAACTTAAGTGTGAAGGGGGGAAGGCCATGAATCAAGCATTCCTACTCACCCAATCAAAAATCGGCCTCTATTAATTTACAATATAAGATTCATTACCAACATATGCTCATGTTCTGATTTTTAATGCTAACTTTACTAGATGAAGGAAACAAGTATAGACTAAATCACTTACTTTGGAATGTTTTGATCTCGTGCGTTTTAGAAAAGAGTTTAAAAATGTGTAACTCAAAGAAAAGAAGAGTTCACATGAAGAAAGATCAAAATCACCCCAACTTAAGCAAAATAACCTCCAATCTATGGGCATGCAAAGAGATATCACAAGTAAGCAAGTAGCCACATTGTACTATTCTATACATGGTAAGGAAAAGACACACAGTCGGGATGTGAAGACAAAAGAAGCTCACCTAGTACTCATTAACATTAAGCCAAGCGCAAAGGGTTAGAAAAATATACATGATCCAACATGCGAAAAAACTAATGCAATATATACATAAAAATGCAACTAAAGACTCGGCTACTAGCATATAACATGTGAATCATCTCAAGACATGGGATTGTGTACAAAATGACATAAAAAATGATAAAATACAAAGTATAATGAGTCGAGTGTTAATGCATGAAAAAAAGAATGCAAAGCATATAGATGATGAATAAAGAAATAAAATATGATGCCAAGAATATGGACAACTCTAAATAAAAAAGGAATAGAGAGAGGGGAAAAGAGAGAAATAAATATACATGTATCTAAACTAAAAGAAGCAATCAAACAATACAATAGAAACAAAATACTAATGAAAATAAAAGCTATCAAGGATGAATTAATTACACTGAAAAGGGTACTAAAATGAAGATACAAAAGCTATCAAGCAAACGAAGCTAAGAAACAAAAAGTAATGAAAAGAAAACAAGCCAAAGTGCTTCTCTAACATAGGAATGTAAGAAGTAATTACAAATCCTCTAAAAATGCTACTAGGAGTTAGACATGATGAATTCATCCTTAATTACTAAGAATAATAAGAGAATGAAATCCATCCAAGTCATGGAAGCTTTCCAACAATTGTAGACAAATTTCTTTACCAAATATCAAGGCATGAGAGTGTAGAGACCACAATTTTTGTAATTCCTTTAGAAACCCTAGCCTTGAGATTATTTCAATTGAGACCCTGAATTTTCACCTTATTGCAAATTTCACCCTAGAACCGAAAATGCATCGCAAAAACACCCGTACAAAACCTAATCGACCTAGTAGCTTAGTAATCATTTCTATCACTGTAATATTAATTATTCAACTCTTTGATTATAGATTAACCACTTAGAACCCTAATTTTTGGTTTTCACTGTTTTCATTCAATTATTCGCCTTTTAATTTAAAGCAAGATAGTACAAACCAAATTATTTTTTCTATCACTAATTTAATTAATTCTACACTTGAAAAAGATATCCTAATTCATAAATTGTACCCATCCCCTCACACTTTATTACTATCTCACAATTCCCTCAAAATCATTCTTTATATATAAAATGTACAATTCATTGTAATATTCTTTTTCCTCAAAATATCTACATTATATATAGGAGTTTGTACACAAAAATAAATTGAAGAATCACACAAAATCACACCCACATGGCCAGCCACCCTAGGCGGGGAATTTTGTTTAGTACTTAGAAAACATAAAACCTTGATTTAGGGAAGAATTTTGACCGAGACCCTAGATTCTTGGAGCGATGTTTTGTACTACCTCTCAATCTAGTTCAGACTTAGCTAAATCCATTACTAGATCATGTTTAGTTCTTAATTAGGCCTCTTAATCAACCCTCATTCCATCACACCTTAACTAAATCCAAAACTTTTCCATTCCATTGGAACCAAGGGCATTTTAGACAATTCACCAATTTTTCCTATCAATACACCACCTCCCTCAACACGTTTGCACATCAAGCACAAACATACACCCACATTCGGTCAATAGGGAGAGAGAGAAGAGCAAAGAGTGAGCTTGGAGAAGGAAGGAAGGCGAAAATGAAAAATTATTGTACAACACTTCCTTAGGCAAAGAAGTAAGCCACAACACAACCTATTCCTTCTTTTCTCTTCTAAATACATGACATTATATGCTTATTATACTGTTTTCATATGTTTATGTATAGATCTCTTGTGTTTGAATAGGAGAAGTTGAGCTTTGATTGCAACTTTGCTTATATTCTCTCCTTGTGAAGTAGTCACCTATTACTACCAATATCTTACATTATTTTTGAACGAACTACTTCAAGCTAAAAATATGAATTATTATTATATTATTTAGTATGTTTTCATTATAAAAGAATTGAAAAATTACCCATGGTTGCCCCTTTTTCTTACAAATCTTTTATTTCAAGTTTGGTGCACAAATGACCGATATTTTTAGCCTACTTCCGAAAATTCTAGAAACATTCATAAAAATCCCCTTGAGCTCATTTTTGCATCAAAACTCTCCTTAAAGTTTTAAATTTCATGTAATTTTTTTTTTTATTAAAAATGAATGAGTGGCTTGAGAGAAAAACTGATTTCCGTAACAGTCAATGAATCTGAACAGCGCTGAAGTATTTCTTTAATAACTAAAAATCTAGAAAATCTATCCCATTTCCGAAAGATGATTTTGAAACTAGATGAAATTCTCCATGAACCCTAGAATGGTCGAGTTTGGAAAAAATTTGAAAGTACCTCTTTGATTGTAATCTTTAAAGCAAACCGAATCTAGAAATTTATTTTTGTTAATTATTTCAGGTTCTTAATTTCTTGAATGTGCTTCTTATCACTTGTTCAAGCTTTAGTATGGTAAATACATATGTTGTGGCTATATTCCTTGAAATGGTGCTTTGATGATACTCATACCTGTGTAGAATTTGTTTTCTTAATAACTTGTTTTCTTAATAACTTGTTCTAACATGGACTTAAATCACCTAACTGAATGGGACATATTAAATGGGGTGGTATTACGTTTTCGATCACTTGAATAATGATGAGATGATAGTGGATTGATATGACATATTCCCTAACTGAAGGTTAAGTCTTGGGCAAGTGGTTGTTTTGGAACACATGGATGGATCGATTTGTATTCGGACCCTAGTTACTTATGACGGATAAGATTGGAGGTGGTTATATATTTTTACCATCTCTTTTGAGGTCATCAGTTGGCGCTACGTGGTATGTAACTGTTGTAGACATTCGGGATAAGGTCTATAAAGCAACAAAAGAGGGGACATACTGAATAACCCGGGTCCAATTCTTGTGGTTGGAAGGATGAAATCTCTTTAGGGGATTTCTAGATTGCTAACACCTAACTTGTAATCTTTTGCTTGTTTACTTGATTATTATACTTCTTGCTTATTATAAATGTGGTTGTGTATTGGATTGAAAAAAAATGAACGGGGTGTGTGCCTCTTTAGGGGATTTCTAGATTACGAACACCTAACTTGTAATCCTTCGCTTGTTTACTTGATTATTATACTTCTTCCTTATTGTAAATGTGGTTGTGTATTGGATTGGAAAAAATGAACAGGGTGTGTGTGTTTATTGGACATTCCATGCTCATGGCATTTCATGCCACGTATTGATGAAATTTACGAGAATAACAGTGAAGCGGAAACATTTGAACACATATGGCTATCCTCAAAGAATTTGGATTTAGTAATCATGTTTTAGGATTGTAAGTGTTAAAACTCTTGTCGTAATTAAGATATGATCATGTAATTATTATTTTAGTTATATATGCATATATCTTTTGTGAACTTATCCTTATCCTTCCATCAACTTATGTAGACCTTGTGTTAATACCTTATTAATATCTGTAAAAATAATAGATGAATAAAATAAAATAAAATAAAAAGAAAAGAAAAAGATAACTTTGTTCTCTAAGGAGATTGTACTTTGAAGGGAGGCTATATTAACTCTTTTGATCTTTCTGCAATCTTTCTTGTTTATTGACCACATGACTCATTAGTGACGATTTCTAGACTTATAACCTTAGAAAAACTCTGTATTTATTTGTTAATTTTTTCCCAGATATTCCCGATTTTTGGGGCGTTACAGAGAGAAAGAATGGAAATAATAAAAAATGTATATACTCTATCCTTCCTATCATGCAAATGATCATGGAAAAGATTGATTGTCTTCCTTGATCATCAAACAATATGAATCATTTCATAATGATTATGGAAGCAACTCAAATAACGAAAACATGGATCAAAGTAAGTAAAAATCCACCACTCTCATCATGAAATTGATCATGGGAAGATGGACTTCCTTGATCATCAAATGAAATGAAATATCATATGGTGATCATAGAAGTAATTCACAAAAATAGAACTATAATCAATGAAATGAGAAAGATTATGAATCTCTACTCATGGAAAAGAGAAAATAAATGATAAAATTCAAGTAAAATGGATTGGTAGATTAGATTGCAAACTATTTCTCCAAGAAAATGAAAATGAAAATGAAAAAAAAAAAAGTGGTACAACAATAAGAGAAAATGAAAGAAAATGAGAATGTCACCCTCTCTAATCACTCAATTGATCCTACAAAACAACCGCTAAAGCTCATCAAATCATAAGCAAGGACTGAATTATGAAAATCAAACATGTTTGGAAGATGAGAAAATTAATGAGAAAATGAGAGAAAACAAAAGAAAACAAAAAGGAATCAAAACAAAGCAAGAGGTTAGACCAATACCCACTGTACAAGCCCTTAATTACCTCTAACAATTAAAGAAATTCGGAAAATGGAGTGTTTGGGAGGTGAAAAAGTATGAGAGAAAGTGCAAGAAAACCATAATTTAAAGCTATCAACAAATCCTATAGATGGGATGACAAATCCCCTTCATTATTTGCAGTCCCAATCACATCTTAAACAATAGCAAATTCAGAATTATAGAGTGTTTGGCAAGAGAGAAATAAAAGAAAATAGACAAGAAAGTGATGAGAAAGTTTCAATAGATTACCTCAAGCAAAGGAGAAAGAGCTCTTTGGTTGGCAATCCTCACTCTAGTCACCCTCAAATCTTTAAATTCAATTTTTGTCCTCAAGAAAAAGCTTCAATCCATCAAGCATCATTGGATTTTGTATGTATATCAATGTATAGAGAGAGAAAATAAGAATTCAAGTGCTTTGAGAACAATTTGGTGTCTCTATGCTCTTGTAATTCTTTTAACCCCCCAATCCCTTAATTAAGAGGTGTATTTATAGGCCAATAGATGCCTTGCTTTGCAATTACACCGAGCATTACGGAGGTGGCATCTTCCCACTTGCATTGGGGACCATCTTCTTGAAACTGCTCTGTTTATTACCCAAGTTGTTTGGCCAGCCAAATTGTCCAGCCATATCTTTCGTGTACGGTTAAGGTCAAAATGAGGTGCAAATAGGGTATTTCCAATGGATTCTCTCCCTTTTCATTCATTTATACTCTGCATTTGCTTTGTTTTCGGAAAATACAAAGTTTGGATTGAAATATGAGATTGAACATTGTAGAGTGATTGGATTCTACAAGTCTAAAGCATTTCCAAAATAGTTATAGAGGTCTAAAAATAGTTTTGGCCAAAACGGGTATGAGTTTGAGATCCGCTTTCAACCATGGATTTTATTGAATATATTGAAGACTTGCGCATTCTTATTTTTATCATCGGATGACTAGAGTGAGGCACCAGAATCTTAAGACTAGTCAAAATAGGGTGTCTACAATTGGTGCATAATGAGAGTTGTTTTAACTCCGTAGACCTCTCTTTTTGGAATAATAAAACCAAATGCACTAAAAAACAATTGTGTGTAGAAAGAACATATTGAAGATTACCAATTTCCTTCCAGTTTCATTGTGAATACCAGCTCCGCCAGAAGCATAATTCACACCCATGAGGATGTCCTGATCTAGTGCACGTGCAAATGATGGAATGAAATCATCAAAACCTAAATGTTCAGCTGCAAGGTCAAGAGAGAAATTAGATGGACATCAGACTACCATCTTAAGATCTTAAGATTATTGTATGATAGACTTGGTATTCTTGGCATTTGAAAATGTGATAGATTTTTGTTCAGTAATAAATGCCATGGATAAAAAGTTATGCTATAAGAAATGCCAATAAAAATCCATTCAAGCCTGAAAATCTCAATGCTAGCAGTTTAAGAGTAAGAAAAGACCGATGATATCTGATATAGTTCGATCATTGCAAAATCTTCCAGTAGGTCCTTCAGGGAAATCAATGCCATATGGTTGGTAATTGGATTTTGCTGAACTTCCAACATTATTATTGCCATTATCAGCTAATGAGTCTCTGAAGATGAAGAAACAAGGTACTTCTGGTTTAGCATGAACCCATGGTTACAAGCTTGAAACCAATGATATTATCGACACCATAAACCAAATCTTAATCTGAAGATCAGTCAACAATAAGAGAGAAAAAATTACTATAGCATAAGGTAATGTGAAGGTTGGAAGCAAACCAAAAGAAAAATTATATATAGCCCCACCAATGATGATTAAGAGCAAGTTAGTATGGAGTGCATTAACAACTAGGGTGCGAATAAAATTTGGTTTGAAATTTGAATTATGTATTGAATTAAGGAATGACCACTCTGTAGGAATCTCTACAAACCATGTGCTTGGCAAAAAATTACAACTGATATCACATTCATTGTAGCATTTTGACTGACATCAAATTTTATTGAAGTTTATTTTTGTAAATGGTAAAGTGGATGGAAAATTAGAGTACCTAAAGCTCATGGAATTAATGGGACTAGTTTTAATTATAAAATTGTGTTTCATGATAAGAAAAGAGTTTTTATTCCATATTGAAGAAGTGAGGAAAATCAAGCCTAAAAAGAGGATCATATCCCCAGCTTAAGTTTTGCCCATTATGCTTTCCCATTTCTCTTATCCTTTAAGTGTTTTTCTTTCTTTTTCTTTGGGTCGTTTGGCTTAGCATATGATTGGCATTGGCTCATGTACCAGTCTAGTAAGGATATGTTGTCAATGCAATGATGCTTTTTGCCTTAGTTTTGTTATTGATGTCTTCCGTGTACCCATTGTACTATTTGCGCACATCAATAAATTTTATTTTAAAAAAAAAAAAAAAAAAGCTGTGAAGCAAGGTTTGTGCAAGTAGAAATTGTAAACAAACAAAAGAGAAAACCTTCTTGTAAAATTTTGAAGTTAATTACACTAACACCCCCTCACTATTAGGAGTATCACTTTACCTTCCTCATCTATGATCCTGCACAAAATGACTCTCTAAACTATAAAAATCATACAAATTCACCCCTTCTAGAAATGGTCTTGAAGGTGTAAAAGCAATAGATATTTATAGTTGAAGGTGTAAAAATGAACGGTTTCATAGATGATTGGGTAAAGTGATATTTGCTACAGTTGAGAGGGTCTTGGTGTAACTAATCTAAAATTTTATTATTTAGGATTCTTTGGACAATGAGCCAAAAAGTCTTGAATAACCAAATTTATAATAATAGAGAAACAATGAGTCTAGTAAGAAACAAGCATAATACTGAATTTCACACTAATCAATCGAAAATAAAATTAAAAATTACTAAAATATCAAATATGGCTACTAGATAATTGGAGAAGTGCATCGAAATAGTTAATCTTTAGCGCTTGCCATGTCTTATGTGCTTTGCTTCCTTCGTTGAGTGTTATTTTTTTTCTTTAGCTAAAATAGTTAATCTTTCTAATTTGTCTTACATAAATAGAGGGAACAAATTGAGAACAAATTCCACATGTAATGTATTGAGAGTCTTATGCCAAAACATGGACAACAAGTCTCTATTTTTATGGTTGCCCAAAAATGCATTCAGTGGTACTTAAACATTCCGAGTTTATTGGTATTTTTCTTTGTTATGAGACAAGATGTTTCCTTATTAGGCGTGTGATGTCAGAGTTTGAGTTTTATTCTTATGCTATTTAGTTTCCTATTATCCTTGTTTGTTCTACCAATTTGTTGGTATTTTTCTTTGGTTATGAGATAAGATGTTTCCTTATTAGGTGTGTGATGTTAGAGTTTGACTTTTATTGTTATGCTATGCAATTTCCTATTTTCCTTGTCTCCTTTGCAAATTTTTTATTTTTATTTTTATTTTTTTAATGTGAGATAGATAGGAAATTAAAATTCTTAACTATAAATTAAAATTATTGTTTCCACATGGAAAGTAATATTTTGCACCAAAAACATTTTATCATTTTATTTAATGTCTTGCATGTATTCATACAATGAAGAGTGTATGTGTATTGATATAGCATCCACCACATTTAAAAAAATAATGAGACAATTGGTACTCACCATAACACATGAAAATTCACATAAGAAGAAAATAATTATAGTAAAATGTTCAGATGATTTACAACATCCCTCTTCTTATTGAAATAGAACCTTAGTGTAACACCGGTACCATGTTATTATCGGCACCTAATATCACAATCTAACGATAGAAAACTACATAGAATTGTGAGCCCCAATATGTAAATGTAACTGTCCTATCTAATTGAATTCACTAACACATTTGTATAGTGAGGTAGACTATGCCCACATGATACTTCATCATTAGCCGACAATATCACATGTCAATGATGATGTTGTATCACTGATTTAATGAATTTTTTTTCTCTCTTTGTAAGTATGTGATTATGTAAGATTCCACCATTGACTTACATATATTATCTATTTTATTCTTTTCTACTAAATTTTTTTAACTAGACCAAATTCAATTATAGAACTGGATACAATCCTTTTCCATGAAATGGATCCTCACCAGGACTGGGTCCATTGCATAGAAAAAGTTGCTTTTAACTCGGCATGCATGACTATCTTTTTTGAATAATGAAACCAAATGCACACACAATATTGAAAATTTATTTGTATATCATTATGCATCAAAATTTCTTTTGTATTAGTACAGTTGTGAAACAAGAATTGTGCAATAAAAAATTGATGACCAAACAATAGAGAAAACTTTCTTCCAAATTTTAGGAAAATTTTATGGCGTGCACCTTTTAAAAAGAAGGCACATGAAAAGAAAGTTGTACTTTTGTGGTGAAAGTTATAGATGTTTGTTGTGTGTTATGCAATTTTTGGTGAAAGTTATGAATAAAAAATTTATGGTGTGTATCCTAAAATGAAAGTCATACTTTTTGTGGTGAGAAAAGTTATGCAATTTTATGGTTTATGTTATAAAATTTTGTGGTGTTGTTATGAAGTACATACCATATGCACCATTTCAGAGATGTACATAGTACCATTTCTGTTTGCCCTATTATTTTCATAGGTGCAGGAGAAATAGTGAGAAAATGTGTTCAATTGAGAAATGCAAGGGCACCTTTTTAACAAGACATTTGGCAACTCATGTTGAGCAGTGCAAGAGGCATTTAAGGTTCTTTGCCAAAACAAAAGCACATGTAAAATTAAAGGGTACTTACAAGCAACTGTTGTTGTATGACAAATGGCAAAGCCTTGATGCTAGTGACAATTGCATGAAGTTGTGCACTACCCATGATCGAGAAATGAAGAAATCACTAAAAGAAGAGTAGTGGTAGTTGTTAATATATCTTTCTTTCACTTCTAGTGTAATTTAGAGGTTTACTAGAAAAACTTAATTTTCTATATTCAATTTCTTTTGTTTCATAGTTCTAAACAAATCCTTGAAAAAGGCCAGTATAGGACTTTGTTTCAAATGCGGACAACAACAATGAAGATATAAATGTTGTTGCTTCGAGCAACAATATTCAAGAGGACCAAACAATGGTTGTCCAAGACCAAGAAATCAGCTAGGAGATGATTAATCGAGGCTAGGCTAGTGGCTTTGTTATTTCACATGTCAATAACTTGGTTTCTCAAACTAGGCATGAAATGGCAAGCCTATCAAAAGAGAACTAAAAATTGACTGTTGAAGTGAGAAGTTTTCTTGATGGCTCTTTTTACAAAACAAAACCACATGAATGAAGGGAGAGAATGGAATCAACAGGGCAAACACCAACGTTCCTTCATTACCTCCTCTCAAAACATTGAAACCAACGACGATTCCACCAGTTGGAGAACCTATAGATTTTTAATAGGAATTTCACTTTCCGAAAGAAGATGGAAGATGTGTTTGAAACTCTTTATTTCAAACATAATTTAAATAAAAATAGAGAAAAGATTAGACCTTGGGGGAAGGATGAGGAATGGGGGAGGAGAGCAAATTTAGACTTCCTGCTTTGGTTGATCTAACATTTGTAGATCAAAGACCTAGGGAAAATTTTGATCTTGTCTATGAAGATCAAAGACCTATGGGGCATAGATATCCAGTTCAAAATCTTGATTTTGAGGATCATAAGCCATGGGAACAAGATTTAAATGTACTAATAATTAACCACAATCATATGGCAAAGGAATGGAATCATGGAAATGGAACAAGAAATGTATAGACTAGGCCAAAGGAGGCCAGAAAGACCAATGTTCAAAAAAATCATACTATCGACACCTTATTTTGGTTAGTTATAATACTTTGCCCCACTTTGAAAACACCCCCCAATGATGAATATAAGAAATGGTTTTGGACTACCGATTTGTCAATTGTTACTAGAACTGGATGCAACCGAATGGACTTTAGCCTACCAAGCAAATTAACCAACCTTTCTATACCTATTTGACCCACATTGGGTCCTGACAATGAAATTAATTTTTATTCTCTCTAACCTTGCATAAATTTGAAAAGGGTATTTTTTTCTGTACATCAATTTATGTAATAGAAAAAACTTTAGAATTTTGAAAATTGTAAACACAAGTGTGTAGTATTTTCAAAGAGCTTTCCAACGATATAAAATTCATCAAAATCCAATTTCAAACTAAGTTTTAGTAGACATTTTCTAATTGCTTGTCAATTTTTGACCAAAAAAAGAAGAAGAAGAAGAAGAAGATAAAATGGTCTTTTATAAAAACTACAAACTAGACTTGCATCTGGCCTTTTCTATTTTATTATTTAAATTCGACCAATTTTTAGAAAATGGGTTTCCAAAGTCCAAAACTCATTTTGAAAACACTCTCCATCTCCTAGAGTTTGCAAAATATAGAAAATATGGTAGGCTGCCCCATACTGGTGTAAACACCCCTATTTTCCCAGTAAAGACAACCCAAGAGGGGTGAAGGGGTGAAGGGGTGAATTGGGTTTATCAAATATTTAACCAATAATGAAAACTAATGGAGTTTGAACTAACTCAAAAATAAAGCATAGATATAAAACTAAGCAATCAAGCTATAACTAATGAATGTGCAATGCAAACAATCTCATAAGA